ATATAGCAATTTTCTTCATCGAGTTGATCGCTTTCGTCACCAGTTGACTCTGGCTGTTGAGTCGTTGGTTGTTTCTTTTCGGGGATCTTCGTCGCAGACGTGCGCGAACCACTAAACCATCCAAATCCTCTGTTTTCGTTTTTCTGTTCAGCGGATCCTGTGTGCGCTCCCATGTCGAGTAGCTGTTTGGCCTCTTCCTTAGCTTTATTACGTGCCTGTGCACCTTTCTCGGAGAACGCAATTTGATCAAGGACGGCGGCGCGGGCAAGCAGCAGTTCGCAGTACAGCTCAACAATCTCCATCACCTCAACGCCGATATCAGTTGCGATGACATTTTCGACTCGAATGCGAGCTGAGGCTTCACGGCCATTGTCGAGGAGCTGGGCGAGTTCCCGGCGCTGGGCGACCGATGATGCGGTGTCCTTTTTTTGGAGGAGTCGCAGGCGCGGTATGAGTAACCGGAGGGTTGACTGAAGCTTTGCCTATAGAACAGTTTTAGTGCTTGAATCATGAAATCGCTAGGCAAAGGCGCTGCTGTTGATGATATATGTGCGGGGTAAATTCGGATAATGCGGTGGTTTTATGGATTTGGAGATATGAAGCAGAAAATCCTTACAGTCTGTACAGACGGTGGCATTTTCCCTTTCCCTATTTATTGTCAAGAAAAACAGTGTGATGACTTAGGTAGGTGATGCGAGAAGCTCAAGGGCTGGAGACTCATTACCCCCACGTGGAGACGTTGACGTTGTTATCAACCACGCCAGTCTATTTCTGGACTAGCGCTTATTTCCTAAAAAGGAAATGGATGATTTCTGGGGCTATCTATCTAGAAAGGCAAAAGGGATCTAGCGTCTTTGTTTCTTGGACTCCAGCTTTTCCACCTCCTTGTCAATCTTCCTGAATCCCCAGTTCTGCCAGAATGACGGATACAAGAAAGGCCGTAGGTCCTGGTTTAGCTCTGTTAGCATTCGAGACATTAGTGGAAACAGGCTACATACGAATCGGTTGTCCTCTGGAGAATAGTCATTAAAATGAATAGATGGCGTAAGTACGGTGAGCTTATGTCTATTAATCGCGTCTGTAACCATCAGTCGTTAGTAACAAGAGAGAAAATAAGGAGGAGGGGGGAGCTTGAAACCCCCCCCGGTCGTTCAAGAGCGCAAATTAACGTACAGTAATGGAAGAAGCGTTTAACCTTCTCACTAGATATCTGTCAATCATAAATTCAATAGTAATATGCGTCCAAAACTTACGCAATTTGGCGGGGTTCCAGAACAGGCCCTCCATCGCCGGGTTGGCGTGCCCTTTCGTTGCCCCATTCATGAACAAGCTTTTGGAACATGCCGTACGGACCTAGCTTGTTGACTTTGCGTAGACGGCCAAATGTCTTGCATTTGTGAGCAAACTGAAACCTGCCCGGATTGGGGTAAAACTCACAGTCAGCTCATCATAAGTCATTCCCATGTCGACTTCATCGGATTGAACGTATGTCTGTATTCTGTCAGCAATGTTTTTATCTTGGAATTTTCTCCAAGGCACTTACTTCTGTGATAGGTTCAAGTTCGGCAGTTGGCACGGCTGCTAAAAATTCATGTAGACAAGGAATGACGAATTCTTTCTCGGCCCAGGCAATAAATCGTTTTAGATCAGATTTATCGATACTTCCGATTGGATTCTTTGCCATGTCAGCACAATATCAATAATTAGGATATAAATCATACTATATCAGCACTGGAGCAGTCGTATTTTGTGAGATACCTGAAAGTTACAAGTAATTAGCTGGTATACCAAAAGGAGAACGGTCGTTGATAGGACAAAGTATCGCCATCAACAAAAGCTTGTCTTTGTGATATGTTTTGGTACGCACCCTCTTAAGGATTCCTGGTGTCAAGGTCAGTAATAAAAGATTTGGCATCCTTTGAATACAACTTACACCAACGTTGGCAGATCCAAGGACGAGCAAACTGCCACCCCCTGGACGCTCTCGAGTTGTCGGTAAGATCTGAGCAAACTCATATGCTATTTGGAGTCAATGCAACGTTCACAAAAGTATGTTGATTACAAGACAACAAAAACACACCTGTCACCATCCTCGATCGTGCCTGGATGTTCTGCAGCATCAGGTTCTCAGCCGCAGTTCCCCCCTCGACTTTGAATTTGGGATCAAATTTCAAAGTGTTCTTGACAAGGTTTTTCTGTGCCTCGTAGACCTCATCGATGTCAAGGTTCACGTGGTAGCTTCCAATGGCATCCGAAAGATCTTTGGCTCGCTGTCGAGTTTCCTTTGAAGACTGCTTGGACATTCCCATGTATACCGTGTGGAATATTTGATTGCAAAGCTCCTGTGGTGTTTCTGGGAGCTTATTCGTGTATTTGGCAATCCGCTTGACATCTTCAATGACTTGAGCGTTTCCAGCTTTTACCGCTTCTATAACAAGTCGGCACATGGAAAAAACTATCGTCGCAGTTGCACAAGAGTCTATCCCGCCTGAGAGGGGAACCAAGTAGCCAGCGACTCCACATCTCCTCAGATAATCCCAAAGATAGCACCCCGAACACAGAGCGATTTCCTCTTCGGGGGAGTGGTACCGAGGGGTGAACGGGATACTAGGGGTCCTGGTGAGATCCATGTCCATCTCAGGGTCGCTTAATTCGAAGGCAGTTTGAATACGCTCATATTTGTAGTTGGAGTTGGCAGCCTGGAAACCCCTGGACATAGAGCAGCGATATGCGCGGACTTCTTCAAGATCGACTGTCGCTGTCACAACCTCGACATCGTTCAAGCTGAATTGGGAGCCTTGGGCAACTACTTCGCCATTTACAACAACCTGAATCATTAATATTAAACGTCAACCAGCTAGAGAATTCTCTTACCATGGCACACCCATCATAGTATAGGCGGTCACCGTCACATCCTTGCTGGTTTGCATATAGATATATGCCGCCATTCTTTCTGGTTCCCTCAGTGATAAGTTGCAGGCGAGTATTAAGCTTGCGCAAAGTAAAATGAGAGCCGCTGCTGTTGGTTATCACTTCCACGCCATCAAGACTCATGTGTGTGTGGGGGCTGTCAGGAGTAAAAAGTTCTTCCTACTATTCGTGAGTCTCATAACAAAATCCTTGGGGGTGGGGAGGTGGGGATACACATACACATGTCTCTGCGCCAATGCAAGTGTCTGGTGTAGACACCACTGCGTCGCCAAAAGTAACATGCGTAGCGCCTTGCAGAGCCTGGATACGTCTTGGAAGATGGTACTGTTCAGAGGTTCGCGGTTGACACCAGGGAGTGAAATGACGCATTTCTCTATAGTTTCCGTCGTTGGCGAGGTACATTTTCGGCCTGATGAGAAGAATCTTGCCATTCAAGCAAATCACGCGGCAGTTGTATCGAACATTTCTGTGCTGGATCGGCATTCCAATGTCCAAAAGAATATCACGGCAAGATTCATCCGTCAGTATCCTTTCCAGCATCTCCCAACATGCAAGAAACAAATCTTGTTCCCTGAGAAAGTTAGCCCGGGCTGCATCTCAACATTCGGATGTCGTGGGCGGAATTACAGGAGATGATCAAGACAGCCATATCCGCAAATTTCCAGTTCAGGGCCCACACGAAGCCGTGCCCCTGCTGCTTTTGCCTGGTGAATACTTTCTATGATTCTCTTTGTATTTCCTTCAAAGTCCAGCGCCCACCTATTATTCGGTTAATGCAAACGATTCTGTGGGGAAAGATGTGTAGAAATACTCACTGGTTGAGGTTGCATGTAGCAACAGTCACAAAGTGTCCCATCTTGCGGGCGTAATGCGGTCACAATACCACTTCTACTTATGTAGCCAATTTAAAAGTGATGTTTTGATGTTTGTGGAACTGGGTGCAATCAGAAGCAGAAAATTGTTGGAGAAGTTTATTCAATTCTGACGATAAGACGTCATGTGATCCGGGTGCGGGGGAGCGTCTCCGCACCTTATATGTATTAGCAGAAGGAATAAACATTAATGCTTTTGGCATGTAGATTTTTTGAGGGTTATATGATGGCTTCATTCCACATATCGTTTTCAAATTTTTGCGAAGACGGTGGTTCAACATGACAAATACATAATTATGGAGATTGGACATGGCGGGGCTATTCCTGATATGCGTGAATATATTGATATTTCTTCCGTAGGCTGTGATCGCTCTTTGAGAAAAATCCAATGAATTGCTAGAGGACATGGTATAAATTTGATCATAAAGAAGACTTAATAAAATTCTTAAACTGCTCCTGATCAAGAATTTCAACTTCAGTTATGCGTCCAACATCCTTCACCTTGCCGTCGACTCGTTCGTAGCGGACCAGAGTTGGCACTCCGGAGACTTTCCAATCAGTTCGATAGGTATTGGAGGGATCCTTCCACCTATGTATACTGTCAGTAAATGCTCTGCTTTAAATATCCCGCTCAACGTACTCGGGTCGCTGTCCAACTTCGACAAAGGCTACCTGAGGCGTATTATCTCCGGAAAAGGCGGCTGTAAGGTGCGGCAACGAAGCCCTGACATCAGGACACCAAGGCTCTCCCGTAGTCGGGTCGCGCGAGGCCAAGAAGGCGATGAAGAATGGGGAGTTGGAGTCAGCAGGCAGCGCAAGGTCATCCTGCGAAGGAGGCAGTGGGAAATCGGTGATGATCGGCATTTTTGTGTTGTTCTAACGGTGGTAACGAGGGAGCAGCAGGTTGCGAACAGGGAAAGCAAGAATCACAAGACGCTATTATCAGTGCGGACTACATGTATATCAAGCGATAAAAAAGATGAAAAGGAACCCTCTCCATCACGATGGTGAGACCTAGTGGGAAGGCTGCCCCACCCTGCCTTCCGCTGTTCGTCTGGATCCGTGAGTCAAAATTTGGTGGTAAAAGGGCCTTTTCTAATCTCTTCAAGAACCATTAAGCTATTTGTTATAAAAATTTATTTAAAAAAAATGATAACTACTTAATAATTGATCTATACGATAAAGAGTCAAAAAAATTGATAACGACGCGATTCGAACGCGCGCGGACTTGCGTCCATCAGGAGACATAATATTAAGGTGAACCTTAACCTGACGCTTTTAAACTGTTAATGTCGTGATTCATTTGCAGAGAAGCGGTACGGAAGCTTACCCATAACCAACTCGGCCACGTTACCGATATGTGTAATTTATGAAAAAGTGCTACAAGCAGGTTCCCCTGCCATAACACACAATTTATTTCCACTTGTATTTTTACCTCTTGGTCGCGCACATTCTAAATATTCACTATCCACATAAGTAGATCAGTATTTGCATATTTAACACATATCGGGTTTTATAAAACTACCTTTTATAAAATAATAAGACTTTTATAATGACTGGTACAGATGTAAATATCGCTAGAAACGTTTTCAGGTATTAATTAATATGCGATAAAGTCTGCCGTATGTGATATGTTGTTGCTGTATCGTACCCGATATATTTACGGATTATTAACGACATTGAAGTTCATATGTATAGTCGTCTGTCATTCTCGAAGGACCCCGGTGTCTTATCACTGCCTCATTCTCAGCACTTGGGTGTCTTAGGCTAATTTGATGCAGACTGGCATACGGCGTTCAAAAAGGTTAGGGTTAGAGCTAAGCCAAGTCACTGAGGCGAGACTCTTTGGTATTAATAAACATTTCAATTGATGTATGCATATATCTACTCCAAACCCAACTCGGTCATATTGGTACATGACTGTTGTAAACAACACAAAATGTCAAAGTGACGAAGAAAAAAAGGGGGTGAAAGAAGAAGGTAAGAAATGCTGTGTCAACAGCGACAGTTGGACATCATAACCCCAAAAATATTAGGCCCAATTTTTAGTGACATTGCACTGTTCTCGGAACAGTCCAAATATTTCCCCCATGTTTTCTCTCCGCCTTTCAGAAAAAGGGGGTCCTCGTAGACCAAGAAACACAACAAGACAACCTCACCTCCACTTGCTAGGACCCGTGGCGTTGAAATAAAAAAAAAGTATCAAACATTATAATACAGTAAAGTTCTCTCAAGAACCCAACTCCGGGAAGATCATGAGACACTGTCTGGCGCCAGGTCTCAATCTAAAATGAAGTGTAAAAAAATGGGTATCAGATCGTTAGATCAAGAAGCAAAACATAAAGGTATATAGTCGGAAAAAAAAAAAAACCAAAAATCGTCAGAATCAATGAACACACGTGATGTCGTGGAAGATCCTGACAAGTGGAGAAGGGGGTCGCTTATAATGGGATAATTTAGAGTTGCATCATCACACCAGCAAACAAGCCCAATGCAAGACCGGCCACGGAGCCAGTAGACATAGGAGCAGCTGCTCCAGAGGTGGTGGCCGAGGTGGCCGATGCTCCTGAAGAGCCGGTAGGTGAACCAGCTTGGGTAGAGCCAGTTTCAATGAAGACGTGAGGCGCATAGCTGTAGCTTGCCGAAGAACTGCGAGATGCAGGGGTGGAAGTGATCTTGGTTGATGAAGGGCTGGTGGTGCTGACATGCTTGCTCGTTGAGGTTTTGGTGGTAGCGCTGGTTGAGCTCGTAGAGGTAGAGGTGGGAGTTGTGCTGGTACTAGTAGTGGTGGGTGTAGTACTGGTACTGGTACTGGTGCTGGTGCTGGTGCTGGTAGTGGAAGTAGAAGTAGAAGTAGGAGTAGTGCTGGTGGATGTGGTAGTAGGGGGAGCGCTTGAGGTTGGTGGGCTACTCGAAGCAGGGTTGCTGGGGGCTGGAGCAGAGCTGTCTCCGGCCTCGAAGACGTTGATGTTTGCCTTCTGGCCGCTAGGGACAGTAACCACACAGAAAGCACCACCACCAGCTCCGTCAGCCGAGTCGCTCGAGGTAACCTGGTTCAAGGAGTTGGATGAAGGATCGATTTTACAGGGCAGACCATTGCAGCCAGCACCGTCTTCGCAAGTGATTTCGACACCATAAGTGGCAGGAGTGTCGCGGAAGGGCGTGGCGGGTTCTTGCACAACAGGGTTGTAGCCAATCTTGACGAAGGTGTTTCCATCGGAGTCAGTGTTGGCACCGGCGACAAAGTAGGCCCAGTTTCCGATTGGTTTGGCACTTGTTCCCCAAATGCAGCCTTCGTCACCAACACCGGGGGGGTTAATGTAGAAGCTGTTCCACGTCAGACAAGAAGCAAGATACAATTGGTATAATCATATACTTACTGCGCAGAAGTTGAGCACCAGTAGGAGGGGTCGGGAACGGCGAGAGTAGCGGTTTCCTCAACAAGAGTAGGGATAAGCATTGCTTCGTTTCCAGGAAGAACGGTCTGGCAAAAGGAGAGGGGCTTTCCGGCCTTGTTGACGGCGGTCACGGCACCAGTTCCGTCCACACAGTAGGGCTTTTCGGGGAAGGGCTTTTGAATGTTGCCGCTCTCATCACAGTAAAGTCCACCATCCTGGGCTTGTCAGGGTTGATCCATAGGGAGTAAAGTTCGCAGGCACGTACCATAGAAAGGGGATAAGTGTAGGAAGTGGCTTCGGGATTCCACTGCATAGAGACCTGTCCAGGAGGGCAGGCGTAAGGGCAGTAGTTTCCAGGCTTACAAGGCTGGTCGGGGCTCATGGCCCATCCAGCGTTCTGCTGATCGGGGGTGACAGCAACCAAGCCAGCGTCAGATGGGAACTGGCACTGTCCACCGCGCTTTTCTGCCTGCTTTTCGGCATGTTGTTCGTGTCTCCGGTGGTGGAGGTGGCCGTGGCTGTGGGCAGCTTCAGCGATGGCGATGAGGCCGACGATGGCGGCAATACGGCATGCCATTGTGTTTGCGTGCATGATGCTGGGCTTTTTGTGTAGTGTTGTGTCGAGAAAGAGAGCGAAAGGTCAAAGGCGAGGCGGTGTCAGCCCGAATTCTTGGGTTCGCGCGCGCGCGAAAAGGGCAGTCGAACAGCAGTAGTGGTGTTTTTTTTTAGAATCGTCTTCAAGGAGAGATAGATCAATCGAAAGTCACGATCGTAGCAAGACCGTGTAGATGAGGAGACGCACTGGTGAACGAAAGACTGTGGTCAGGAGGAGATGCGACACGAGCGAGCGAGCGAGCGACACAAACAAAGGCGGGCCAGGGGAGGAAGAGGGAGTCGATGGCGAGAGGAAAAGCCTGATCTGGGGTGGGGTGTCTCTCGTTCGGGGCGAGAGACGGATCATTAGTTCATTAGTTAATAGAGCATAAGTTACGGGGTACATAATAATACAATAATACGTACCCAATAACTCTGCGCGACGATCGACGAGCTGTGACCAGTCGAGATCACTGGCTGGCACGAGTCGCAGCGTTGCATAACGGGGCAGAGTAATTAGACAAGAACTGCGGGTCGTCTCATCGGGGAGCAATAGGCGAGGTAGGCGATGGCGAACTATCGTGACTATACGGGCGCCGGGGGGCTTGGCAGGCACCGGCAGCAGCCGACTGTCGCCCAAACAGGGAAGGTGCCAGGGGCGTGCTGGCGCTAGTGGCGTCGATCGCTCCTGCCCAATCCAGCAGGTGCTCCTTCCCTGGGAGTCTGTGACTCTGTGGAAGGAGCGAGCCTCAGTTCTGCTCCTTCCTTTTCTCAGAATACTCTGTTCTCCATACGCATCCTGAGTACTTCTTCTTCTCTTTTTTTTCCTTGCGTTCTCGCTCTTTCAACATCGCATTGAATGTTTCAACTTCAGCAGCCGAAATTCAACCCTTACTCTCCGCTGCGTGCCAAGAAAGCTCATTTCCGAACGGGTAGGCGCCCGTCCAATCACGACCGCCATCCTCTCGAGCCGTCGGACGAGCCGCTTTGTTTTTGTTCGCGCCGTCGACGCCCCGCTAAGCTTGTCTGGGACTCTGGGCTCTCTGCCCTGCTGAGATCAGCAATGATGTTATTTTGCGTCAACTCGGTCTGAGACATCGGGGGAACCAGCTGGAGAGAGCAGTGGCCCTCGTATAGCCAGACATACAACAGCTGAACTGCGTTTCATCTCCTGAACACAAAGACCTTGAACTCAACACAAGATTATTACTTGCTCATTTCTCAAGGGATATCTCTTTGCTTCTTGTTGTTTGGGCGACTGATTTATACTAACTATAGCGTGACACGTCGTTGTCGTGGTTGGCACTTGACAGGTTGACACCCCGTACTATTGACACGTCGTTGTGAGCAGTCATATTCAGGCGTGGACAACATTCCAGTCAATTAAGCTTAGTCCCACGTGGCGAATGTCAACGATACCGTCAACACCTCCATGATCAGCGTCTGAAAGCGATCATCTCGATAGCGCAAAGTCAAAAATGCTGACACTGATTGTACATTATTTTGTTCGTGCATCTCCTGACAGGAGAATACCACGATTCCTAGCAAATACAGCATACACAGCCGTTTCCGCGTCACCGAGCGCGGCTAGGTGACCGGATCCAACCCGAACGAGCGATAATATCCATATTTTCATGTTCCTTTTGCCGTAAACAAACAACCCCATTTAGCCCATGTCCCATGAATACCCAAAACCAAACGCCTCGTGTAGTCGTTTTATCGTTTCTTCAAAAGTCAAGTATCATCTGTGGTGCCAACTTTTCTAGATCCTCCACCTATAAGTCTAGTTAGATATTTTCCGCAGGTTCACTTGCAGGCCAAGAATGAATACCTCGAGGAATCCATCCATCATGGACGGCCGTCCATCACCAGTGTCTTTGTTCCCCTCAGTCCTCTCATACGCAGCACGCGCCAAGGCTTCACGGACAAATATATCAACGTATTTTGCAGCAACCTCGTTTGCATCTTTGGCAATCTTCGTCTTTGGGTTCTGGAAATGATGGTGCAAGAGTTTTGTCAGGAGCTTCGGAGGGATAACAGGCTCCCCAGACTCGATGTCGCGGGTTTTCTCATTCGTAACTATCTCTGCTAGAATATAGTCCGGTTCTTGCGATTGCGATCTTTCCCCGTTCGCCGACCCAGATCCAGACTCAGACCCGTTTTCCGAAGACCCATCATCATCATTATCGTCCTCTGACTCGACTGGGGATGGAGCCTTTCGTTTTTTGCCGCTGGTCGCTGTTGATCTTCGCCGACTCGTCGAGGATGCAGAAGCTGCTGTGGATGATGTGGATTTTCTGGATGTAGATTTCGGCTTTGTCGCTTTGGATACGCCTCCTGTCGCAGTCAAGGATTGTTGTCGC